TTTTTTACCGACCAAAGTTGGTCGGTCGACCTTGGTCGGTTTTTGCCGAATTTCTAGTAGTGCTAGTTTTCGAAATAAAAAATTGAAGGGTATATTCTAGTAAATATTCTCTGCACTTGTACTATTATGGTTTATTAGAAATATGTCTCATATAAATAGAAAAAATGAGGAAATGATGTGAGACACGTGAGATTCATCTGTAAGAACAAACTTTTGGCTAAATATTAGCTCTCTGGCTAAGATACAAGCATCACCTTTTCATCGAGATTCTTGTCGAAATTATTCCCTACTTTCCATCAGATCCGAGAATAATTCGAACATTCAAGAATCTGGTTGTCATTCATCATTGTCAGGAGGATCAGCTACCTAGTTCATCCTTTATTGGGTGAATCACTCCTCCTATTTACTTAAATGTCATTTATTGTCATTCATTGTTATTAAATGCTCTATTATTGCTCATACTATTTGGAATTGTTATTGCACATTGTTGTTACATCTTTGCAAGATCTGTTCGACGCTAATCACGTTTTCGGAAATCGCATCTAAAAATATTATTGTTAAGTAGGTTTAATCCGTTATCACAGAAACTTAATTATTGAATCAAGGGTTATATTTTTTTGTCAAACAAAAGTGTTCTCACTAAGAGATTCAAAGCATGTGGATCTGCTTTGGTGGAATACAATAATTATTTATGTAAAAAGATAATTTTCATTTTAAAGATTGGACATAATTCTAACACAACTTATAATTGAAAGTCTTTGTCATTACGACCCTACATTAATAGTGTAATGTATGTATTAAAGAAAGAAAAAATAAACGACAATGCATGATGTGATTAGGGACGGTACTATTGGACAATTTTGGACTAGAATAGTTCTTATTATTAATATACAGACAACTTTTTGATGCACATGTATCTTATGTCAACTGATACAAACTTTTAAAATAATATAAATAATATTAATAGATAATTTTAAAAGAAACAATACAAGCTCAAACTTAATTGCCGAATAAAAATGATTAGCTAAATTTAGTTAGATATAGATACGATCGATGTGTACATACAAGCACAAACCAACATAAACTTAATTATGTAGCACTTCCACTCTTTGACTCATCCATAAGTATATCGCACGTCAAAAATATTTACAATAAGTGTCATACGGGAGATACAAATACAAAGTTTTGAAGATAATTTTGTTTCATATATTTAAGACGTCAATATACAAGACCAAAGGGATGTGGAACACATAATCTAATTTTCAAGTGTAATATAGAAAATAAATTTATTTCTCATGGAAAAACTGCATCGTAGCAAAAGTTCTGCATAAACAATGATATTCTTTACACGAAAATAAATCAAGAAAAATTATAAAAACTATTAACTACACCAGTTAGGAGCTATGATGAAACTAAGAATTAATTAATATTCTATCCTAGCTAATTCGGTCCTAAAAATTTTGTCCACCTTCTAGTTTTTAGTATCATAAATATTGTTCGGATTTGACAACTACATTAGAATTTCAAAACATAATCCAACTACCCTATACAAAGAAATAGTTGGAAGGAACGAAAGAAGAGAAAGGTATGGCATTAGCAAAAAACTTATAAAAAGTAACATGAAAGAAAAAGATATACCTTATTTGACATTTGTAGATTTCTGTACGTAGGAGATGGTGACCAGTGAAAGAGAGAAGATAAATAATTCTAATTAGGAATTGAAAAGCTGTAAAGTAGTATAGTTTTATATAGGAATTGAAAGATAACATAAAAGTAGCATTCAAGGAAAGGATACAATGATCTTTCAATTTTTGTAGGATATTTTAGTAATTCACTTTTGACTTTGGAGGTTCACACTTATAATATAGTATGACATGATGATTATGTGTTTACCGTAATGATATAAAAAATCTTCAAGCTGTATTCGTGTATTATAACTTAAATGAAGTATTAGTTTTCAAGAAGGTCTGAAACTTAAAATATTTTAAATTAAAGTACTAGATTGTAAGACTACTAATACAACCATGAGATAAAGAGTTTTGCTAGTTGTTAACTAAACAGTAACTAGTAAAGGGCAGCTCGTGGGTGCACAATGCATCTCGCGTTCACGCATGGCTCGGGAATGAGTCGCACCCCAAGAGATGTGATATAGATAGTCTACCCTACTTAATGCAAACATTTGTGGCTATTTTCACGGCTCGACCTCTCTTTATTGTTTCTTCTGAGGCTCCCCTCCAACTAAACAGTAGCTAGTACACTAGTATATATATATATATATATGCTGGAAATCTTTAACTTTTGTTGACGGCAGATTATCTCAGCTTTCTAACAGCCTTGGCCATCAAGCGTATTGTATGGATAAGGAAGAGGAGGGCCATGAGTCCTATCCATATGAAAACTGAGATTGCTAACACATTGGCGAGTTGTTCCTCTTGGCTTTCTGGTGTAAAGACAGAGATAGACATACCATAAGTGTATGCGGTTGCAGAAATGGCGATCCACATGATAAACATCAATATCCACATTAATCCTTTCTTCCTTAAAGGTAAGCCACTGATCAACAGTAATATGACGCTCATTGATGCCATAAACCCAATTGTGTTTGCGATTAGATATCGTTGATAACCAATTGGGTATTTATCTGCCATCACTGATGAACCTGCTGTATGTTTTGCTTCATGACCTGTAAATAATCATGTGTCAACAACATTGACAGATTTTAACTTCATATCTTTGTCTAATATATAGTAAGTATTCTCTATCATGATCATGTGCTAAAATGCATACAAATCCCGAGATACTTTCCTTTTTACTCCGTTTCAAAATAAATAGTTTAATTTTAAATTATTTATTTTACCTATTTTATCATTAATAAAAAGTTTTTATAATCACACAAATGTCAAATTTTACCCTTTAAGCTTTTAAGACCACAAGTTTCAAAAGTCTTTTTTTTTCTTCTTAAAACTCTTGCCAAATCAATCTGCCTCATCTAAATTGAAACGGAGGGAGTACATATTTAATTTAGCATCCTACACATTTTTTGCTTTTCCAAATTACACCTGCGCAGCTCTGTCTTAACCACTTTCTTCTTGTATTTACCTCCAAGAGCAATTTATGTGATCTCCAATTAATGAAAACAATACCCGAGAAAGAAAACCCTGCTGACAAGCGTATCCAAGGGGTTCCACGGATCACGTGAATCTGTGTTCCCCTCCTTATATCATGTCAGTAATATTATATATTTTTTTAAAAAAATACTTTTATATATATATATATATATATATATATATGTGTGTGTGTGGGCGCGCGCGCGCGCACGCGTGTGCACCAAAATTTAAAGTATATATGATACGATAGTTATTAGGTGCACCTCTCCAAGTGAGATTATGAGCTTAAATTTTATGTCAATTTTGTAGTTTTTTTTTTTTTTTCTAGAACTAGGTGCCTATGGGAGATGGACATGTCACTTTCTTCGTATTAATAAAGTGTTTTTTTTCTTTCTTTCTTTGTTTGGTTTATTCTTTCAAAAATTTTACCCATTGGAATTCCTACTCATTTTTTGTCACCGTAAAATCTTACTACATGATTAAATGAAATGCGTATATTAAAACTAGTAGCAGTGGATGATATTGTAGCATATAGTTAATCGATGCAACTGATCCAATATTTTTCACACGGAGTATAGATATGGATATAAAAATATTACTGTTTTAAAAATATATATATAATTCCAAATGTATAATGGGTGTAATAGTAATAACGTACTAAAGATTGTACTCGTAAAATTTTTATCGTGCATATACCTCTTCGCAATAGTGCACCCATCTTCCTAAATTTATGGATACGTGATGTGTGGCTATAATTCCATAGTTTCGTACATTATGTGCCTTGCATTTTACATGCTTTAATGATAAATTATACTTTATTTGTGCATAATAGAGTCTATTTTATGTGTAGGTGAATTGTAGATGAAAGTAGAGCAAAATGGATATTTAAACGTTGAAAGTGTGCTTGAGAACAGTGAAAAGGAGAGACCTGGCGAGGCCAGCCAAAGGCCAGGCTGGACCAGGCTTTAGCCTGGCGAGGCCAGCCAAATTCTAGGCGTTAGACTGGCGACACCAAGCCTGAGGCCAAGTCCAATCCGAGTTTTGAAGACTTAATTCATTCCGGGTTTGACTAAGACTCGGACCACACGTTTAGGATTTCTTCTACACATATAAATAGACCTAAAAATACCACTTGGAAGAGGGTTTTTCAGCAGCCACGTTTTTGGGCAGCTAGAGGCAAGGAGAGCTGGTGGAATCACCTCATGGGAGTTAGAATCATCTATTTCTATATCTTTTCATCTTTACTCTGTATTTTAATTATGCAAAATATTTGGGATATTGTTACTGAGTATGAGTAGCTAAATTCCTAATCTAGGGTTTTGATGGAATCTATTGAAGAATGATTTTCTTGTTATGTTAATATAGATTTGTTGTAGTATTTTCTCTATTTGTTCAACTATATTATTCTTGTGGTTGATTGAAGGGCCCTCAATTAGCTGTGCGTATTTAGTATGTATTACTCGGGAGAGAGTACATATTTAGGTAGTTGTTGAACAATATCACTCCTAAACGTATATGAGGGATCAATACGGAGGTTTAAAGGTGTGATTGGGATAACGAAACCTTGGTGCGATCTGAGTGAGCTGCACTTAATGCCAGCTAGCGTAATTTGGGAGAATATGTCTAGTAAATTGTAGTAATTACTCGGGAGAGAGTTACGACAGTTAGAGTGCTCATGATCGGTAGAGAAGACTTAGGCAAATTTATAGGAAACGTAGCGGAAAGGATTCCGACAATTGGGAAAATCATAACTCTAGACTTTCTTAATCTTGTCTCCAATCCTTATCCTTGTTAATTGATAGTTTTACTGCTTTCTAGTATTTGTTATTTAATTAGGTAAAAAAATAAATATTATAATCCTTATAATTAGGTAATTGTTTGAACTTGTGGTTATTAGCGATATTGAACAACTGTAGATAAGCCTTAGTTCTCTGTGGGATTCGACTCCGGACTTGTAAACCGGATTATATTTGCAACGACACCTTAGTCCTTTTTATAACGCATAGTTGGACGTGATCAAATTTTGGCGTCGTTTCCGGGGAACTAACGGTGTATATGTAGTGTACATATTGCTAGGTTGCAAGTTTAAACTTTTTTTTTTCTTGTATTTGAATATTTTTTATTTTTGTTTTACTTGTTGATTTTAGAAACATGGCATCTTGGAATTATGACAGTTTTGATGTTGGTAATTCTACTATTGATCCTCCTTATGCATATTGTGGAGAAAACTACCCATGAAAAAATTATCAAAATATTCCTGAGAGCGAGTTATGTGCACCAACTCAATCTTATGTGTGGAATAAGTGTGATATGTGTGGTGGTCAAGATGGTAACGTTCATGGTTGTGCTTATATGTCTTATCCTCCCCCAACCCCTTACTTTGACGGTTCTACATTTTCATGTGAAGTGAATAAGAACAAAGAATCTTGGGAAGCTGACCTGAAGGAAATCAAAGATATGTTAAAGGTCCTCATGGAACAATATGATGAGAAATTACTGCAGATACGAAGGCAAGAGGCAACTATTCACAATTTGGAGGCTCAAGCTAATAAACTAAGTGAACCTTGTAAAGTGCAATAAGCTTACATTATGGATAATAGCCAAGAAGAGCATGAATGGGCTGCAGAAATTGCTATTATAATGGAGGAGTTGGGAGTAGAATTTGACCAAACCAACCAACTAGAATTTGATGATGTCGATGTTGAAGAATTGGTACTGGAGTCAACTGAGGACCTTACGGATACAATTTTAATTGATTCTAGGTTTTGCCATGAAAAGGATGTGGATAAGACTGTGCATTTTCAGTTTGAGCGCATTTGTCCTTACTCCAAGTACTTTTCCACACTGTGCGTAGATGATGATATAAAAATAGAGTCATCCGGGCCACTTGAGGAGTCACGGAATGAGGAACAAGGTCCCTATATTCTGGAATTCTTCTTGCCAGAAAGTCAGAATTACACACCTCATCTAAAGGCCAAAAAGTGCAGAATACTACATTGTTTCCTTGGGCCAGTTAGATTCGTTCCACCACCCCAAGAGCATGATCATAGAGCAGAATCAAAACTTGGGGTCCAATTCATAAGTTCAAAGTGGAGGCAGAAAGTGATTCGTGTCGTGCCGCAACGTTAAATCAAGCGCTTGTTGGGAGGAAACCCAACTTTACTGCTTTATTTTATTATTTTTTTTATTATTATTATTTTTGTAGTGTCGATTTTTTCTTTTCTAGGAGCATGAAAACAAAGCTATTGGAAGGATGTAATAGCAAACTAGATGGTTGGAACTAAGTGTGAGGTACCCGCACGAAGGACCAAGCCTGGGAGAAGTCTGAGTACCCCATGAGTTGCTAGTGCTTCGGCCTTTGGCCTACCAGGGAGTTTCTTTTACCCTCTTATTGGTTATGGTATGCATTGGGGACAATGCACAATTTTAAGTATGGGGTGAGGAGATTGTCTAGGTGACTTTCTATGATATTTTAATTGTGTTAGTTTAATTGAATTTTTTTTTAGAGAGCAGAAATAGAAAAGATTGGACTTTTCCCGACGATGGATCTATTAGACAATTTTCCTGAGGGATTTAAGTCGAAAGGAAAAAGACAAAAAGGTTTTCTTTTGTTAGGTAGTGTAGCAATTCCCCCTTGATTTTTCTTTGTACCGCGGTTCTTTTCCAAGGGTTTTGTTTGAACCGGGTGTAGTTAGTTTTATTTGTTTTTAGGAATAGGAACCATTGGGCCATGAATTGAATTAAAGCAATATCTCTTAGCTTTGTTATGCCTTGAGAATAGTCAGTACTATGGTTGTGACGCTTAGGCTCAGTTTTTGACTCTCGCATAAGTACCTTAAATCGTATATTCCTAATTTTGCTTAACTGCTCTGACTGGAGTGTCGCGATGAAACCAATCCTGAGTGAGTTATGTGCCATGTCTGTGTGAGATTTTGTATGTATTCTATGCATTGCATTTGATGTCTAGAACTTGACCCGTGTGTTTGCAAAGCGAAATAGTAGTATTATTCAGTCTAAGAAGTGATATAGGCGTTTCTTTGTTAAGCCAGATATATAAATTTTACCCACCTAAATGTTATGTACCGTAGTTAACCCCGTTGAGCCTATAATCTTGTTTCTTTGGTAACCACATTACAAGTCATACCCCTTTGTTTTAATCGACCATATATTTGAATCTTTTCACCTCTCATGAGTACTTGAATTGTTATGAACTTTGTAAAAGTTAAAGTGTGGGGTGGTTGGTTCGGCTTTGGTGTGGAACTAATGAAATAAGGAGAAATGTGCACTGTTTTGAAAAAGTAAGAACCACTTGAATTGAAAAAGAAAGAAACGAAAAATTAGTTGCATTGCTGTGAAAAATATCCCTTGATAGTGATGACTCTTGATGTTATTGTGCTTAAAGAAATATGGAGTTAATATATATTGAGGTGAAGGTGGAGTTATGGTTTGACATAAGTATGTGATGTGTGTTAAAGTATATGTATTAAAGTGCTTAAGGGAGGTGTAGTCACTCATATCCAAATGTATCATACCCGACCTGCAGCCTACATTACAACCCATAAAAGTCCTACTTGATCTTAGACTGAATGAACTCGATTAGTAGAGTATTACACTACGGGCAAGCCTATGGTGCATCTTTTGTAG